CGTGGGGCTCTCCACAGCCCTCCCTGAACCGTGGGGCTCTCCACAGCCCTCCCTGAACCGTGGGGCTCTCCACAGCCCTCCCTGAACCGTGGGGCTCTCCACAGCCCTCCCTGAACTGTGGGCCTCTCCACAGCCCTCCCTGAACCGTGGGGTTCCGCACAGCTCTACTCCTGACCGTGGGGCTCTCCACAGCCCTCCCCTGAACCGTGGGGCTCTCCACAGCCCTCCCTGAACCGTGGGGTTCCGCACAGCTCTACTCCTGACCGTGGGGCTCTCCACAGCCCTCCCTGAACCGTGGGCTTCCGCACAGCTCTACTCCTGACCTTCTGCTCTTCACATTCTGTACCTCCCCACCCTGAGGACCTTGGGAACTCCCGACACCCCACTGATGCTCAGATCCACCACCAGGCCCAGCTCTGACCATCGCTGGCCATTGAGAAAGAGCTATTCTGGGAGCAAGAGGCGGCAGTCTGCTTCTGTAAAGATTACAGCCTTGGGAACCCCATGGGCCAGATCTGTGGAATTGCTATGAGTTGGAATCAACTAGAAGGCAATGTTTTGTTTTGTTTTGTTGCAATTCCTGGTTCTCAGATAAGGAAACTGAGACCACTTAGGTTAAGCAACTGGCTATATGCGGCTTCAAAGCCCACATTCTCGGTCTTGTGGGTGCCTGTGGGTGCCTGTGGGTGCCTTGCCCCAATGCCTCTACAGGCCCCGATGCCCTGGCTGCCCCTTCACCTTCTGAGGAGCCGCTGGGTGGATGTGAACCACCAACCTTTAGGTTAGCAGTCGTTTGCCTCCAGATGGGATTACCTCTGGTGCTGCCTCTGCCCAGAGCCCCCTCCGGCTGAGCCCCCAGCCTCGCCCCGCTGCTTCCCCATCCCCTCTGCTTCCCTTCCTTCCTGGTCTCCGACACCATGTCCCCAAGAAATGCTTGCACAACAGTTTCCATCCCGAGCTCTGCTTCTGGGAACCGACCTAGGACAGGAGTCGGAGGTCTAGAACCAGATCCGAACCTGCCTAGGCACCACCTGCGATGAACGTCTCATGACACAAACCTGGATGTTCCCAAACCTGTTCTTCCTCCTACCACTCGACCCACCACCCTCCAGTGGCCCAGCCTGAAACCTGGACATCAGCACCCCCATTTCCCTTGGCCCCAGGGTCCAGTCAGATCCCAGTCTGTGCCCATCCTAACTAATGTCCCTTAGCTCCGTCACCAGCTTCTCTTCCGTCCTGGGCCACCGCCAAGTCTCTGGATCCTGGGTCCTGCATCGTTGCCGCCTCTCTGTCTCTACCCGGCCCCCACCGTAGCCAGTGATGTTTCTAGAACACAACCCCTTGTGGCGGCTCCCCACTGCCCTCAGAACCCCATCATGCAAACTCCGCCACATGGTCTCCAAGGCCTTTCTGATATGGGACCTTCCCTCATCGAGAGCACTCCGCGTGTCCAAATCGTTAAGCACTTGCCTCCTACCTGAAAGGTTGGTGGTTCAAATCCACCCAGAGATGCCTCAGAAAAAGGCCTGGCAGTCAATTTCCAGAAGGCTAAGCCTCAAAAGCCCCAGGGGGCACAGCTTGGCCCCGACACACAGAAGGCGGCCATGACACTCCGCTGACTTGACAACCAGCAACACTCTCTATGGCCTCCCTCTCAACACCATATATACACATACATGTACATACACACACACACACACACATATGCATGGAGGTCTGGTGGCGCAGTGCCTAAGGTGTTTGACTACTAACCAGAAGGCCGGTGGTTCAAACCCACCAACTGCTCCATGGAAGGAAGATGGGGCAATCTACTTCTGTAAAGATTTACTGCCTCAGAAACCCAATGGGGGTCGCTATGAGTTGGAATTGACTCCAGGGCAGTGGGTTTGCTTGTTTGGTCTGTATAATTATATGTTGTTGTTGTTATGTGCCGTTGAGTTGGACTGACTCATAGCAACCGCTCCTTGGGTTTCCGAGGCAGTATCACTACGGAAGTAGATTGCCTCATCTTCCTTCCGAGGAGTTGCTGGTGGATTTGAACCTCCAGCCTTCTGGGTAGCAGTCAAGTGCCTTAGGCACTACGCTACCAGAGCTCCGTATAATTATATAGATGTATTTAATAATTTGGTTCTTATTGGTTGTTGAGAATACACAGAGCAAAACAAACGCCAATTAACACTTTCTCCAGGGACAGGTCAGTGACCCCGATTCCATTCTCCGAGGCGTGCAGCCCTTCTCACCCTCCTGTTCTGCAGTGTTTCCCCTCCGTTGACATCAACTCGCTGCCCCCTGAAGTTCCCGTCTAACCTTTCGAGTGGCTGCGGTCACTCTGACCCCACACACGCGGATCTTGAAAGGACATGGTGCTCAAGGCAGATGCTCTTTCCTAGTGAAGAGGAACTTCTGTTTGGTTTTAAGGAGACTCGGGGGATATTTTTGGGTTGAAGGTTAACGATGACCTCAGGGCAATAGTGTTGGAGTCACAGCATACTTTTGCCTCCTGGCCCGGAATGTTCTAGGCTGTTTCTGGCCTCAGTGGCTCCTCCCACTCCTTGCTACTTGAGGTGGTTATGTTTGTGTGTCAGCTTGGCTGGGCCTGGTTGAGTGGCCAGGCAGCTGGTGGTAGTTATTCCCCGTGAGGAGACTGGCAATCAACTCCATGGTGGGATCTACCACAAGCAGCTGAGTAGCTGCCTTTGGGTATGTGCTCTGCTTCCTGTATTTAAGGAGAAGCCTTGGGAATGGCCTCTAGCTTGGACCCTGCAGGTAGCCGTGTCGTTGCTCAGCAGCCTGCTATGCTCTGCCGACCTTGGGACTTACAGTGGACTTAAGTTAATGGCCTGCCATGAGGTTAGGCAACATCAGGACTGTGCCTTTTCACTTGTCAACCTTGGGGCTTCTCAGCCTCAGCAGCCAGCAGCTGTCTGAGTGAAGAAGCACCTCTAGCTTCAGTGCGCCGTGAGCAGGAGGCAGAGCTGGACCCCAAGGTTGAGGGGCTTTCACCCAGCCCCTAGAGCCTGGCACTTTGAACTTGGACTTAAAGCCTCCAAATTGTAAAAATTAACTCCTGTTTGTTAAGGCCATGCCATTCGTGGTATATTTCCTGTCAGAGAGGCATTAGGGAACCAGAACACCACTTTCGAGTTGACCGACCCAATGACTGACAGCACCTAGCCATGTGTCCCCCACCACCCTGTGTGCCCCAGGACAGTGCTGGCCCTCCATGCAGAGCTGTAGGGTGCATGGAGTGGTCCCCCTCCCTGGAGAGCCTTGGAGGACACCCCCAAGCTCAAAGCCTTCACCTGCTACGATTCCTGCTGGCCCTCCATGCAGAGCTGTAGGGTGCATGGAGTGGTCCCCCTCCCTGGAGAGCCTTGGGGGACACCCCCAAGCTCAAAGCCTTCACCTGCTACGATTCCTGTCACCCCGTGTGGTGACTGAAGGTCACTGCTCCAACTCACCGCTGAACAGAGACACCTGAGGTGTGGATCTGAATCTTTTCAGGCTCAGCCTCCAACCCAGAGCCGGGCACAGGGTTTGAAAAACCAACCATGGCTGCTGAGTTGGCTCTGATTCATGGTGACTCCACGTGTCACAGGGTACAACTGTGCTTTGCAGGTTTTTCCGACTGTCGTGTTTAGAGAAGCAGGTCACCCACCCGGCGTTTGCTCTGTGGCACCAGTGGGTAGGTTTGAACCATCAATCTTTAGGTCAGTCGTCAGGCACAAACCGTTTGCACCACCCAGGCACATTTGTTGTTGCTGTTAGGTGCTGCCGGGTCACCTCCGACTCACAGTGACCCCATGCCCAGCAGAACGAAACACTGCCCAGTCCTGTGCCAGCCTCACAATCCTGGCTGCACCTGAGCCCATCATGGCTGCCACCGTGTCCAGCCATCTCGCTGAGGGCCTTCCCCTCTTTCATTGCCCCTCCACTTTACCAAGCATGGCATCCTTCCCCAGGGAATGGTCCCTTCTGACAACATGACCAAAGTAGGTGAGACCAAGTCTGGCCGTTCTCGCTTCCAAGGAGCATTCCAGCTGCACTTCCTCCAGGACAGATTTGAAGAGTATCCCCAAAAAGACATGTTGAAGTCCCAACCCCCCACCCTACCTGTGAGTGTGACCTCATTTGGGGAGAGGGTCTTTGGAGATGTTATCAGTTAAACCAGCAGGTCATACCGGAGCAAGGCGGGTCCTAACCCAATCTGAATGTTCTCTTATAAAAGAGGAGAAGAGACACGGGGAGACAGGCGGACGGAAGATGGGCAAGCCAGCACAACATTATGCTATAGCTGCAAGCAAGGAACGCCAGGGTCACCACAAGCTGGGAGGGATGAGGGAGGAAAAAGCCCCAGAGCCTTTGGAGGCCAGACCACCCTATTGGTGCCCTGAATGCAGACATCTAGCCTCCAGAGCTGTGAGACAAGAAACTTCGGTTCTATTTTGATCAAAGACTCTATAGAATCCTGATCAAAAGGGGGAAAATACAGAACAGAATTTCAAATTCTCATAGAATCCAGACTTTCTGGAACCACAGAGGCTGGATGAACTCCTGAAACTATTGCCCTGAGATTAAAAAAAAAAAATCCCTTAGAGTCATCTTAAAATCACACAGTAGATTAGCTTAACTAGTTTTAAAAAAAGAAACAAATGTCTGCTTGGGCAGGCTCCTTTAAGATCTGTTTCTGTGAGATGAAATTGACAACAGCAACTGGAAGGATTAGATGGGAACCTTAGGGACCGTGAGATGATATTAATGAGAGGAACAGCTCAGAAAAAGGAAGGTGATAATGGCTGCACAGCTCGGACCACACCGTCAGCGTCACGGCGTAGTGTGTGGAAATGGCCGCATTGTGGTGAGTTTTGCTGCATATATTCTCAGCAAGGAATCAAGTATAACACTTTTTTCACAAAAGTGGCATTTCTCTACACAGAAGGCACAAAGTGGGCCTCTGCTGTGGCAGTCCTAGGAAAGGGATGGGGCCACAATAATAAGTGTGTTTGAAACCCAGCTGTTAAGGACAGACAGACCCGGGAGAGGCCTCTCAGAGAAGCAAGGCTTACCTTTTGAGCCAAAAGTCCAGGCTTCCTCATCGTCGAAGTGCGTGTCCCCCGAGATGGGGTGCTGCCCGGGGAAGAAGGCATGGGCCAGGGTGCCCCCCGGCCCGTCAAAGGGATAACTGTCCTGGTGGTAGGCCCGCGCAAAGTCGATGAGAATGTCAGGGTCAGGGTCCCGAGACCTCAGCTCCTGGAATCGGAGGCCTGACTCGACGCCCCAGGCGGCCAGGGCGTACTGCATGAGGGCGCGCACGGTTTCCGGGCTCAGCGGGGCGCTCTGGGGGAAGGATCGCACCCTGGGCGGAGAGGAGAGGGCTGCTGGATAAGGTGGCAGCGCCCCGCAGGCAGGCCGGGTGGGGGAGGGCACCAGGACCTACCTCCAGGTCAGCGTCCGCTTCTTCCACATGCTGCCACTGAGGGCATATCGCCGGCGCCGCCTGACCAGCCCTGCCACGCCCAGCACGTCGGGCAGGGAGCAGCGCGGCCGGTGCATGGCGGCCACTGTCTGGGCGTCTGTGGAGGGGCCGGGGGAGCGGGGTCAGCCGTGGGACAGCCCGCCCAAATAAGGGGAAACTGAGGCTCAGAGGGGTTAGGAAACTGGCTGAGGAAGGTCCCACGGGCAGGATTTGAGGTCAGGCCCTGTGAGTCTACAAAGCCCTGCTGGCACAATGGTTAAACACTTGGCTGCTAAAGCCAAGGGTGAGGGTTTGAACCCACCCAGCGGCCCCAAGGGAGGAGGACTTGGCCATCTTAGGAGAAACCCTATGGGGCAGGCCTGCTCTGTCACACGGGGTCACTGAGTCAGAATGGATTTGACGGTCCCCCACAACAGAAACAAAGTCTGAGTCGGAAGCCATCTTGTTCAACCAAGCTACTACCGCTGGAATCGCAGGCTAGGTCTGGGGCCCCACTCGCCCGAGCCCTGGCGGGTGGACTGTGGAGAGCCCTAGGGGCACAGTGAGTAACCCAGGACTCCTCTCCTGCAGGCTGGAAGCCCCTGGGGGACAGCCACCATCTCACATCCAAAGTCCACCGTCCTCAGGACGGCCGGGCCTCTGGTCTCTTGTGCTGGTCCACCTGGGAGCCCCCGGACTGCTCTTCCCCAGTTCCCTTCCCAGCAGCCTTCTTCTCCTTCGGCTGCGGGTAGACACACGTCACAAACACTGACCACGCCAGCTCCAGCAGCCTCTTGTCTTCAAGTGAAACTCAAGCCTCACGTCATTGGTTGATGGGACCAACGCTCACTGGCCACATTGGAGATGCCTGGTTCCCTTTCAGGCTGGCCACGAACGGGCCGGACAGAAGAGGACCCTACCTTCCTTGGGAGCCAGCCGAGGTCCCTCAGTCTCCCTCACCGTGTAACCCAAGGCCCGGCCACTCAGCTCAACTCCACAACACACCCTGCAGCTGACGACTTCTTGCCACCCCCACCCCATCCGGGCGACCATCATCCCTGTTTCTGCCCCTTTCCTGGCTGCCCTGCCCCCACCCTCCATCCTCCACCATCAAGCACAGGAAACTGAAAGTTGCGAATCAGATCTAGCCACTTCTCATTCACACGCCCCCACTGTGGTTTTTTTTCTTTCTTTCATGTTTTTTTTTTTTTTTAATCACACTTGGAATCGAACTCAAGTTCCAGTCTCCTGTCCCCCCAGAGAAGCATTTGCCTGGCCCTTCAGTCTTCCTCGCACTCCCTGCGCACAAGCTCGGCGCTTCCGGGCACATGCTTCCCTCCTCGCTTCTCATACTGGCTCCTCCCCTTTCTGGCCTCAGCTGGGGTGATGCTTTCAGACAGCCGCCCTGCCCAACCCCAACGCCTCAATACTGTTAGCGTCTTCTTTTCTTCAACACATTCGCTGCTGCAGCTGTTGTTGCTGCTGGTGGCTGTCAGTGCATTTCCGATCCCAGCCACCCCATGTGACAGGGTCGAACGCCCCCACAGGGTTTTCCAGGCTTCTGTAATCTTGGTAGAAGAAGACCACCACGTCTTTTCCTCATAGAGCCGCTGGGTGGGTCCCGAGTGCCCACCATTGCACCATCGGGGTTCCTTTTACACCCTAGCCGCTGTCTGAAATTGTCAGTACACAAACACTGATGTTCTTGATTTGTGGCTCCCTCTTCCACCCTGGTGGCATAGTGGTTAAAGCACTGGGCTGCCAACCCTGAGGCTGGTGGCTGGCACCCACCAGCCTCTCCACAGGAGAAAGCCGTGGCAATCCACTTCCACAAAGATGACAGGCTTATGAACCCCATGGGCAGCCCTGCACCGTCCTACAGGTCACGTAAGTCAGAACGGAAAGTGCTCGGATTTTTGGCTCCTTCCTCTCTCCATCTAGAATGTTAGCCACCGAGAACAGGGGCCTTATCTGTCCGTCATTGGACCAGCGCAGCCTGTCAAGAATTGTAATGAAGTTTGCTGGTCTGATAGAGCCTGGTGAGACCCCCCGCAGTCTATGGCCCCTAGTTCCCCTTCAGGCCTGAAACTTAACTCACTCCTGTGGCTTCCAGCCACACGATAGACAGGCATATGAGCTGAACAGCTTCCAGAGCTGTGGTGGCCTAATACCTAAGGCATTCGACTGCTAACCGGAAGGTTAGCGGTTCAAACCCACCAGCCACTCCTCAGAAGGAAGATTAGGCGATCTACTTCCGTAGCGAGCCGCCTCGGCAACCCAAGGAAGGACTGCGATGAGCCTCGGGCTTTGGCCGGTGTTACCGTATTTATTGAAAAGGAGTGCCTGGAATCTCCGGGTTTGGGGCCTGGCCTCAGCGTGGTCCTAGCTGCCCTGATGTCGCCGACGCTGGGGGGTGGGGGAGGCGACCTACCCAGGAGGCCGGTCTCCGGCAGCCCCGCGAAGCGCTGCATGACCTTGATCGCATCCCGCAGCTGCTCCGGACTCTGAAGCTGGGCCTGCGCGGGGTCGGGCGGCGGCAGGTAGCCGTAGCGCGTCAGCCAGTCCTGGGCGGTGGAGGGGACCGGTGAGGCCGCACCGCAGGGCGGGTGGGACCCATCACCCCCTGCCCCTCACGGCCTCGGAAGCCTGGCCCCTGGCCAGGTCCCTGGAGCCCAGGGCGCCCAGCCCCAGGTGCCCGCCGCTCCCGTACCCAGGCCCCCACTCTCCAGGCCTGAGTGTCCCAGGCTTGTCCGGGCCCAGGAGCCCCGGCCCGCAGCGCCGCAGCTGCTCTTCCGATTTGCGGATCCCGGCTGGAGCCCTGACGCAACACTCCATGGACATTCGAGTTTCCTCCCTGCTGGACCTCAGCGCCCTGGGCCCCAGGAACTCGGGCTGCCCTCCCCGGCCGGCCCCGCACTCACCACGCCCAGGCTCAAGTCCTGCCCGGAGGGCTCCGGGGCGCGCGCCAGCCGCGGCGGCAGCTGCAGCAGTAACGCCAGGAGCCGGAGCCCGAGCCGGGGTCCGATCGCGCGCGGCCGCATGGCCCCCCGCAGGCCGGTGGCCGATGGGACGGACGGGGGCTGCCCAGGCCGCCCTGGGGACCTGGGGGAGGGCGGAGGGAGGCGGCCAGGCGCGAGGCAGCGGGATGGCCGCGAGGACGGGGATCCTGGGGGACGCGGCGTCGGAGGAGGGCTCGGAGCGCACGGCCGGGCAGGGTAATGCGCGGGCTGGGGGACCCCGAGGGTAGCGGGCGTGGGAGAGCGGCGGGCGTCCCCACTCCGGGAGGCTGCCGAGGCTCTCGGGGACCCGGGCTGGGTCCTGTCCTGGCCCGGGTGCGCGCTGGCGGTCCCCCTCCTCCGGGTGGGGCGGGGCGGGGCGGGCGCACCCCAAAAACCCGCAGCTACGCTGCAGGAGAAGTGCCTAATCTTCAAAGCCCCGCGTCTATGCGGTACGGCCCCCGGACCCCGCTGGTGCCGCGGCTCCGGCTTTTCCTGAGTCGGCCCCTGGTTTCCCTTCCCGGACCCCTGCGCCTGGGGCTCTCCGGGCAGGGCGCGCTCCTGCTCTCCCACGGCCGGCCGGGCGCGGACCGCTCGCCTCTTCCCCGGCCGCCTCCCGGAGGCCTCGCGGCTGCAGGAGCTGAAAAGCAGGCGCAGGGGGCGGTGCGCGGAAGCCGGAGCCCCGGCCCAGCTTCCCTTCCCGGCGGGGGTCCCCGGCCGCCCCCCGGCCGCCTCGCCAGCGCCCCCTGAGGCCCCGTGAGCTGCGCGCGGGGCTCCGCTTGGCACAGGCAGGTCTCAGCATCCCAGGGACCGCCGAGGACCGCGCGGCGCCCTCGCCAAGCCCTAGCCATTTCCAGCCCAATAAAACGCTCTCAGAAGCCGAGAGCCTGCCCCCTGCCAGGCCCGCGGGGGCGAGGGAGGAGGGAGTGGAGGGGCGGCAGACCCCGCGGGCGGCCGGCGCTGGGGACCGGGCAGATCCGGGAAGGAGGCGGAGACCTGGGGGCCCAGGCGCCGTCGGGCGCCGCGCAGCCCCTGAAGGATGCGGATGGAGGCGGAGCCGGAGGGGAGGCCCTTCCTGGCAGCCTGGGGGGCCCTGAGCTAGCTCCAGGTGAGCTGCCGGGGCTCTGCGCAGCCGGGAGGGGGTGAAGGGGAGGAGGGGTGCCATCTGAGTTTTAGGCAAAATAAGAACGGGCAGGAGCACCGAGCTGCAGACAGACGCCGACCAGGATGTGGAAGTCCTCCTTGCGTCCTTTGGGCCCTTTGCCATCAGATTGGCAAAAAACGAAAGCAAGTTTGATGATGCCAAGTTCTGGGCAGGTGTGGCCAGGTGAGAGTCACACCGTGCTGGTAGGAGCGTGCCTTGCGGTGACCCCGCGATGTGATCACCCTTCCCCCTAAGATGCGGTTTAAATGTTGAGACTCCTGGTACCACACACACTAGGAGAAAATGAAGAGATTGATGCGGCTTCTGGGGGAGTGGGTCTGAATAGGGCTTGTCAGAGCAAAACCCCAAACCACACCCACTGCCCTGGAGTGGAGTCCGACCCACAGCGCCCCTAGAGGACAGAGTGGAACTGCCCACAGGGTCTCCCAGGCTGTCAATCTTCATGGAAGCAAAGGCCAAACCACACCCACTGCCTGGAGTCCATTCCGACCCACAGCGCCCCTAGAGGACAGAGTGGAACTGCCCACAGGGTCTCCCAGGCTGTCAATCTTCACAGCAACAGATTGTCTCATCTTTCTCCCCAGAGGCTAGTGGTTTGATTAGAGGTGAATGCTTCATGGACTGAGGGACCAGAGGCCTTGTGAGAGCAAGGAGGCACTTTCACTGTGGTTGGGGGTGAGGGTTACTCCAACACTGGACAGGGCTTGAATGCCTCTCTAGGGCAAGTGAGATTATCAGGGCCATCTTATCAGCCTGCCCAGATATGGAGCGGGAGGTGAGGTTGACAGCGCACCCACCGTCAGAAGTGGAGTCCGGCTGTTTGTGAGCACTGTAAAGGAACACCCGCTGTGGAAACCAGTTTGGCCACAATGTAGCTGAAATGCATAACCCTCTGCAGGCTCCCACCACCCACAGCTCTGAAAGGGATCATTAGAAAGTCCTGCTCAGAGTGGGGGGAAATGTGGAACGAAAGTGCAAGTCATTACAAAAAAAAAAAAAAGAGCAGGCTCACTGGCCCAGTAGAGACTGCTGGAACCTCAGAGATGATGGCTCCTGGTCACTCTTTGGGCCTGGAACTGAACTTACCCCCGTAGCTCAATTTTCAGCCAAACGATAGAGACAGTTCTATGCCACCAGGGAGGTACACACTCCTGGGAATGGCCAACCATCTGAGATCCACAGGGCAGCATTTGTCCAAGGACAAAGTTCAGGAGCAATAGGAAAGGAGGGATGAAAGCGGAAAACACAGGGAAGAAGTGGGGTGCGTGATGTCACGTTGTGGGGATCCAGCCAATGACGTGAAACAAACTGTGTGTGACTTGCTGAACGAGAGCTGGCTTGCTCTGTAAACCTTCACCCAAATCACGGTAAAAAGTTTAAACAAAGACCAGAAGTTCTCCGGCCTGTGATTAGATTAGATCAGAGACAGCTGCAGCCTTTGCTGCTTCTCCGCATGAGAGCTGCATCTAACTCTCCCCTTGAATCTGGGCTGGCCCCCGAGACTTCCTTGACCATCGAAAGCCATGCAAGTGACTCTGTAAGCACCTCTGAGGCTGGGTCTGAAGGAGTCTTGCAGCTTCAGAGTCTCCTGGAACCCGGCTCTGGAAGAAACCAGCTGCCCTGTGAGAAGTTAGTTAGGGGTTGAACCGTGTCCCTCAAAAAATATGCATTGACGCTAAAGAATCATGTAGAATCTGCAAAACACCGCATAACGTGGATGAACTTGGAAGACATTATGCTGAGCGAAATAAGTCAGTCACAAAAGGACAAATATTGTATTAGTCCGTTATTGTGAAAGTTAAGGAAAGGTTTATATATTGGAGGAC